CAAAATTACGAGGCATTTTATAAGCGAGTAGAAAAGAAAGAATTAGCGGATGGAACTATTACCGATTTTATAACTTACTATCGGCAATATCATAAAGGATTAGAAAGAGGCGACCGAGTTTTAATATTTAGTTTTTCCCAGTTTGATGAATGAATACAAGTAAACGGACAATGACGAAGTAAATATGGTGAGGCCAAGAATACCAATAAAAAGGCCTGAAAGGAATTTAATAATGACGACAAATAGCGATATAAATAAACATTGTAATTTTTGCCGTAATAGGTTAATTCATAAGGGATTATGCCCGTATTATGTAGCGGATCATATTACCCAACCAATACGGGAGGACATAGAAAGGATAAAGAAAAAATGACAAGAACCACCCGAGGATGGATCCGATATTGATAAGGAACCAACCGATGAATACGAACCCGAACCGCCCGAGGAGGATCGATGCCCGCGGTGCGATAAATTAATACAGGATTGCGAATGTGAGGAGGACGGAGACGATAGAGAATATTAAACTATGCCAGGAACTTTAATTAAATATCAATGAACGGATAAACAACGCGAGGAAACTGCGGCAATTATCCAAGAATTAAAGAAATTAGTTTACCAAGAGGAAATTTGAAGTCAAATTGATAACTTTAAACAACATGAGAAACACAATATTAGGGGAAAAGTAGGACAATTAGAACAACGAATAAATAAAATGCGAAAAATAACCGAGGAATATTAGATATAATAATATCTTAACAAAGAAAGAATATAAAATTATGACTAATTTACAAGAAATATCAAATTACGAATTAATAAGCGAACTCAAAAGGCGTTTAGATCTTAATATTAATATTGAAAAAAATACGCCCACGCGTGATAATAATAATATATTAGTAGGAAAATTAAATAATAATCCTGCCAAGAGTGAATATAACTTAATGGGTAAAATATTAGGATTATATGAAAACCAACCTAAAAATCTCTTATCTTTCGAACAAAAAGAGGTAATGGGATCACAAGTTCTTTTTACTTTTATACAAGTTTTTAAAGAATACACGGAAGGACTTAATTTTAACCAGCGGGAAACCGAAAGAATACAATTGACATTTGACAGTAAAAGATTTAATAATAATTTAGAACCAAT